GTAGACTACGTGATCATGACTATCTACTGTTCACTAGTGGGAATCGGTAACCTAATCCCAAGAGTAGATGAGCCCCGCGAATTTCAGGGATCGCTGTTGTCCGACTGATTTCTTCTGATAGTGCAAAGATTACAGATGCCATTTGGAGCAAAAGATAAAGAGTCACTGGAGATCACGCTTTGCTCTGTTGTCCCCACGAAAACCACATCCAGGAACCTGACCAGTCCCGGAAAAGGAGTTAGCTGCACAAATGTTAAGTAGGTACCAACTTAGTCGGAATAGGAATTCTCGAATCAAATCTTCAAGGGAAATTAAACTGATCTGCATTTTATCATGTCATCGATTTTTCTTTCTATTCACATTTACTCTCTTGTCCGTAACAGATCCTTTGGACGATGCTGGCACTTTGGCTGTTAGATGCTTGTTTATATCAACGTATATACTGTCATTTCGACAGAGGTAGACTTCAGTAAATAGCGACAAACTTCTCGAGGGTTCTCCAGCTCGAATAATAAAGAGAAACATAAAGGGTTTACAATAAGAATGGCCCAAAGGTTAGTATTTTAAATTGCAAAAAAGACAGAAATTTTTATTTTTCCAACCTCGTTTGTTAGCCCCTGGGATATATGATATGAATTTAGCGGACAGCGCCACTGAGTTCCACCAGTTACGTGGTGAACAGCCGTGGAGTTGAACTCATGGTAGAATCTAGTGCGAGATGACACGTTCATATTTTGCTTACTGACAAATAAACAGTAGTCAGCTATTCTCGGGTGACTTTTTTACTAGTATGTATGGCACGATGCGGTAAAAAGCTGGAATCGAAACGCGACTGTGTCTACTGTAAAGTTATCATAGACATGTACTTTGATATATAAAGACTGAGAAATTACTGGTTGTGTTGAGTTTATAACTGAGGACAACGACTTGATTCGCCCATGACACCCAGTCACAAAATTGAAAGATGGCCTCGTTTATTTAGTTTAGTTGTCAACCAAACATTACTGAAGAATGAACATCTTGCTTCGTCAGATTGGACTGTATTTTAACAGATAGAAGCAGCACACGTTGCATGAACCCAACATAGGGTACAATAACCTAAGAGAAAACAAATTTGTCTGAAAGAAAAAAGACCAGTTTCACAAACCGGTTTTCGTCTATAACCGCTACTGTTTCGGATTCACTGGATGGGCTCTCGGCTATTGGTTAGTATTTGCAAAAACTTGAGTGAGAAACCTTGACTGGTCGACTCACTCGTTTCAACTATGTGCGTTTAATCGATAATCAAGCTAATCGTACGAATCGTACGAACTGCCTGGAAAAAAGGTTCACACAAATCGAATCACCTACCACACTTCCATTCTTGGTCACAGACGAAGTAGGATGGTAGATTGGAGTGACTAACCCTGTGACTAACAGCGTATTTCATTGGTCTGTAGCGATGTCAACTAACGACGGAAAGGAGACACCACCTACCGAGATCAATAGTATGGGAGACACTATCAAAGCCCATGTTTATACATAAACACACAATGATTCAGTCTGTGATCGATATGTCAAAAAAGAACATCATTGGATCCTAAATTTATTCCACAACCAAATCTAAACACGTGATCAAACTGAAAACAATAAACGACTTAGCAGAGTGCGGAACAAAGGTGCTCGAAAGTGCGGGTCAATATGTACCTTTGGGTCCGATGTAAATCAGCATACATCAATGAGTTCACCAGATGCAATGGCGTGTTAAACAATCGTGGGTGTATCACAACCGGGTAACGGTGACATTCAATCGCGTTGAATGAGAATGTCCCAGTTAGAAGAAGAAAACCATTGATTTATTCTGAAGGTGACTTGCAACCTTGATGTATGCATACATTATAGGACAATAAATGACAGTCCGGAAGCCAAGTGGAACGACAAAACAATGAACCGGCAAAAGACAAAGCATATGAGACAATGGCTGGTGAGAATTTACACATGACATACGTGGTCCTCAAGGTGTATACCGATTGGTGGACCAGCATTTTATCTTTCGAATCTATTACACATGTAACCAATAGACCTGATCAGAATGAGAACTTCACCTGTTTTGAAGCTGAGCGAAATCAAACATTGTCTGGAGAAGTTAAAACTTTCATCATGCAAAAACCGAATAGTTTCAAGTGGTGAAAACACTATACAGAACTCTGTTTTGCAGCGACGGGAAAAGTGAGAAAAATCATGCTCACATATTTGTCAGTGAACTACCACGGATCAATTTGACTGGTGCGATGCACTGTATGGAGCAGCTCTGCGGGTGAGTACACAGCAGCAGAACCGTAACGCGATGCGTTTAACATCAATGTCATCGTACAGCGAAATACAGTGAAGCGAACTTCGCTGATCGTTACCAAGCTCACAATGTACACAAATTAAGTGACAACTTACAATACAGACAGGGATAAGGTCTATTTTGAGAGAAAGGAAAAGAAAGTGAACCTCTTTGGTCAACACACCCTTTCAAGAATTATGACCTGATAAGAAATGACAACAAGAACGTCACTGCTGTCGGTTAATTACCATATCCTTCATTATCTCCAACCAACCAGGCACGGAGTCTTTTGAAATCCAACCCAGAAGACGAGAGATGTATACTGCTCTTAACAGTTCAGTGCATTTCTTTGTGTCCTGTTTCCAGGCCATCTGTCTATGTGATTTCCTCGAACCTGGAGCAGGAACTGTATATAAGGCTCAGTGCGGTAAACGCTAGCTGGGCGTGTGTAGTACGTGCCCCAACCAAAGAACCTTTCTAATCTGAATTCGATGTGATAACGAATTCCTCAATGAATCATTAACAAATACTCGTCGGTTCGCCCCAGTGCTGCTACACGACCACCTCATCCCGGCACGAAACCACGTGAACATATACAGCCCAACACTTACAGACGATGAACGTCCTCCGCGGACAAATTTAGGGTCTCACAACCGTAAAACAGAACAGACCACACAGTGGAGCAGTGTACACAAATTTTCAGCTTCCAGGAGAAATCACATTAGCACCAAAGGTATTTTAGTCATGCATGAGTTGCTCGAGCCTTGAAAATTCGTGAGGTTACTTCATTCACTATGTTAATGTCATTTATCCAAATAGAAGAAATCCACTAACCTATTCTTGACCATCAAACATCACAACCGGGATAGACGACAAAAAGCTGCACCGCTTTGTGCTTAGAAGGTGATTCAGTTCTTAATGTCCACGTTTATCGACACGATAGAGACGAAAATGCACTGGAATATAAATTTGAGTGTAGTCGATTGCGGAAGGGATGAAACCCAAAGTCCAGAGGATCTATTGTTCGTTCAGGTACAGTTATCAGCAGGCTAAGCCATGGGATTGGAGTAATAGATCGTAAAAGTCCCCCATACAACAGGAACAATGTCGGACTATCGAATTCAGTGCATAACTGTCGACTTATTCCAACAGATCATCGCCATCATGAGCATGAGCATTAAGATCGATCGGAACACTTGGTTCAACCAAATATGCCAAGAAAACTATCTAAACACATTCTCTGGCTAAACAACGAGAAACGTTTGGTTTGGTAAACTGTATACGAGGTTTTGATTTTCAGAGTCATGCACTTGTTTGGGGTAGAAACAAGGTCTCTCACAGTTCACGACACAAAGGAAACACCAATAAAAAGAACAAATCAGGTCAGTATTCTGATAAAAAGCCCAGTGCTTCAGTTGGAGCTGTGTCAACTATTTTTTTTCAATTACGACCAAAATTTGGTGGCACACAAAAAAAGAATTAAAGCCTACGAATTTCGGAGAAGTGTGAAACGCCTTCTGAGGCTGACAGCTGATCCCAACTGATTTCAGATATAGTTAACCAAGAATGAAGAAAGACAAACTGGTGGCCACACGACTGTTACTAGTGGGAGCACCTTATCCCTGTGTGACAGAGCAAATACTAAAGAAAATAAAAATTAACGATTAGAAAACAGAGTTCCGTGGCAGTGAAGCAGAAATCACGGTTTATGGAGAGATGGGTAACTCAGAACGGTCAGTGTCGAAGTGCTACCTGATTTGAGGAAACAATCGACGTGAACGGCTTTTGTTTTCTAAAAGATGGAAGACTTGTGTGCCAAGGGATCAGAAAAAGGTAAATGTCTGTGTTGGGACGAAGATCAACTTCATTCGTCCCACGATAAGCCCGGCTGCATACTTGCTAATTCTGTGAACAAAATCAAACAATTTACAACACATTCGACCCAAATTAGGGTCATTTCGGATCAATACCAATCTCGCGGAAATGAATTAATAATATCGAGTTGTACGGCAATATTCACTCAGTCCGTCCGTCTGATCCGTAGCCTATGACCGATTGAACTTTGCTTACCGTGTATTTCATTGGTACATCATATTTCTTGCATTGGTCAATGTTATTTTCGGTCACATATAAGCAGCACAGTAAAACTTGTAAATTGACTGGTGACTTGTGCTCAACGCCATTAAAATCCCGTGCTGCTGAAGCCGCGTCTTCTCTCTCGTGTTTTGGGAGGCCTGAGAGATCGATAGCCGATCGTGCGTCCTGTGTTTCGCCTAGGTGGCTTCCGCTCCTAGAACTATCATCAGCTCACGGACTTAGTGTTAGTCCGCTGTTCTCGTTTCCCGTATGCTACTATTGTTACTGTGCTATATCTTCTGTTCTTTGCACTTGTGGTGTTCTCCTGTGATATAGTGCTGTGCGACATAATAGTAGGACACGGAAATAAGCGGCGTTGAACATAACAATTCGGTGACGTAGCAGTCTGGTAAAATTCTAATCCACGATAACACCAAATTACGCCAATTGAGGAAAATAAGCGGATTTTCGTTTGATCTTTCGACAATCTTGTGCAAATAATGGTCATAAACATTAACATACACAAACAAAGAATGTCGAAACACGTAAAATCGATGAAGGGTGAAAAAAGGGAAACAGGCCTACCTTAGTTGTGACACTCGACTGAGCGGTACTAACCGACGGTACATGACGCCGGGGTGAACGCGGACTGAACATCTTCGTATGAGGTGGCTGGGGGAAATATGGTGGCGTATTGGGACGAGGCGAAGCCAAGGAACCGACAGTACCGCCGACTGACGAAACACCACCAGCCGATGCGTCGAAATTTGGAGCGGGTGATTCACATGGGATGGAACCATAGAAAAAGCTGTATACGGAAGAAGACATGGGGCCCACAACCACTCCGCTCGGGACGGCCAGCATCGTTTGTAAGGATTCATTTGCTTTGAGTTGGATTAAATTTTCGTGTAAAACGTTTTGAGTAGCAGGATCGGTGAGCCACCGCAAAAACAGCTCATCCAACTTCAGTTTCAGAGCCGGATTGATCGACATGGCCAGTGTCTAACATAGAAGAAACATATGATAACAAAAGGATTGGACAGATATAAAGCACCGGAAAAGTTAGTCATGCTTACTAATTAGTAAAAATAATTTGTCATACACCAGAGCTTCGTCAGTGAAATAGTATTCATAGAATTCCCTATTATCTTTGATAACCAATCTTAATAAACAAACGGATGTTACCGCAAATTCCGAAACTTGGAAATGAAGTGATTAATTCACACAGATTTATCTTAGAAGAGTTTTAATACTCGATAACCAAAGATATTAGTAAGAGAGATACCGTAGTTCAAAGAACTGGTATACATGAATGAGGTGGTTTGGAAAATTCACGTCCGAACCAGTCTGTTGATACCATAGAAGGAAGTAGAGAAGGGGAAAGATACACCGATAATTCAAACGACCGCGAATCTCGCATTAGTATCCTTCTGGACAAAATAATTGAGTCTTTTGGGAGATTTTGTAAATTTCATTTCACCGAAAGGCAATTTTATCGTCAAATGCTCTGCGTATGCACTGTTTTAAAGTTAGATACGGATGATATTGCAAATGAGTTCAAAAGTGGAAAAACTGGAGGTTTTGAACGAATAATGGAGGAGGGCGTCATGGAGTCTGTTCCGATAACGAAATTTTATTTCAAAATATTCACAAATAAATCGAGCGAAATTTCTTTCTTTTTCATAGGACGAATGGATTACTGTGTATGCAGCACAACAGAGTGAACAGGAAAATTGACTTGCATTGCCTCTACTTCGTATTATCTCAAGTCACGTGACTTGACCACGAGACATGATGATACGGTTAGTTGCTGAAACTCTTAAGTTAAATTTCAAACCCACTCCACACTGTAATTGCTCCCAACATGCAGGCAGCGAACCCAGTCGAACATGTCAAGGCGGATTTTTGAAGGAGAAAAATGCAGAATAAAAACAACCGGAAAACTGAATACATAGAGGAAAAAATATAACTTTACCGATTATTGCATATTGAACCAACTTCTCAATAGTTCGATATTTTTGTCCATTCAACCAAAGCCGTGCGCTAACAAGATTCACACGATCCACCTACAGGTGTTTATGAGTGCTTGCAACAAACAGCGGTGCACGGTTCACAAGTGGGAGTAACACGCAATTCAGCGCTTCGTGCAACTTACGTGCGTGTGTGAGCAGGTGTTTACATCATTGTACTACTTCTCAACAAGCTCCGAGGGCGCTGTGTATTTCGACTTTTCGTTACGAGTTTCCCAGATAAGCTTAAGTAAGAATAGGGATTATTGTTTCACGTTTGATGTAGTGAACAAGTAAGAACAATTCGTTTAGGGATTTCGAAGAACGATAATCAATACACTACCCGGAGAGGTGCATTCATTAACTGCCTGACTCCAACCAGAGGGTTAGTTCGAAATTTTTATGGTTGTGACGATTATGGGATGGATTCATTGCCATATAAATCGTTCCAGTGGGAAAAAAACGAAGCACTTGTCCTGGGGCTGCATGGCGCCAGATCCATAAGCACTTAAATATACCAAAGCACTAAAAATTAATGTGGTTATAAAGACCGATGGAATCGATATTTTACACGCTGAGATTACTTTGATCCCCTCAAGCCGAATAAGAACAACTAATCGTTTCAGGTAACATTGTTGTCCGGGTTGCTGAAATGCACATCCTATCGAAGTGTCAAATGATTTTTCACTCTACATTTTACGACTAAGCTTACCAGTTACTGAAACCATTTAGTTTTTATTGCAGTGGGACTTGTAACGTCCAACGCTTAACATATCAAGTCGCAGTACAATACCAATTACGTTCCAATTACTACACTAATTAAACAGAAAATATTATTACTACATAACCAGGAAATTCAGGCCTAAGGAAGTCTCATTTTAGCGTCTATGGTAACTTTACAAGACTACTGATTGAAAAGTATAGTGATCCTGTACCCGATCTCGACGAATGAAGCCCCCGTTCGCCATTCCCGTTCAATTTCGCCGTAGACGAA